TTTTTTCAGCCATGTCCACAACACATCTCACATAGGCCCAGTGGTGATAGTAAACATGTCAGGTCACTTACAGGGGGTGAAAAGAATATCTGCTGTTACTGGACCACAAGCAGAGCAGGTGAGTGTAAGACCATCTGTGAACTTTTTAGTAACCCTGTTGTAGTTTTCTGTTATATTTGAAATAAAAAAGTAGTAAAATTCTTCTTCATTTGGACGTGATCCAAATGATGATTACAAATGCTGAGACGAGAACTTGGAGTAAAAAATGAAAACAAATTAATTGTGATTTTTATTTATTTGAAAAATTTGTAATATTTTTTAAAACTTTGACTGTATATCAATTTTTATTTTATGTCAGGCAATTGAGTTGTCCAAAATTGTCAAGGAACAGGTTGAAACTGTGGTGAAAGCAATAAAAAACTTGGAAAACCCAGAAACGTGGGAAGAAAATTTGAGAGAGATTTCTCAGGTATGATAGCTAACACAGATACAGGATACCTTCATTTAACTTCTCAAAACTTTGATTACCATCTGTCAGATATTCCCAAGCCAACTTTATTGTTTTTATATGTGATAATTTAATATTGTATGCAGATTAAAAATACAGATTTAAACAGAACACTACCACTACATGAGGCCAATGTTGATTGGGATTGATGCTTATGATACAGTGAAAGATTTTTTGTTGCAGACACTTTCAGATGGGGTTCTCCCAAAGACTGACAGGGACAAGCTGGCTGCCACAGTAGATAAGCAGAAAGAGAAGGTTCGGGCAGCAAGGAGCTTGTTGGCAAAGGTTAAATTTGTAGAGGTCAGTGATTTGATTTGTAATCAGTCCAGTTTTTTTAAGCCCTGTTTAAGGAATCCATATTATATTATATTATATTATATTATATTATATTATATTATATTATATTATATTATATTATATTATATTATATTATATACAAAGTGTTTACATTTAAACATCCTCAAAGGCAACAAAAAAACGGTATTGTAACTAATGCCACATAAGATCAGAATAGTTGTGAGTGAAATCTTCTTTTGTCTGCATATTCCAGTGGTAATATGGCTGGCAAGATTGACGAAGGTATAGAAAGTTTTCATTTAATTGTGTTACTCAAAGTGTTCTTCATTTATTTCAGCAAGTTGAATCTCTAAAAGGAGAAGCATCAGCGCCATACTTAGTGACAGAAACTCTGTACACTGGAGGACTGAAAAAGGTTGGTGTGAGAGCATAAGCAAGGTTAGACTGGAATATGATTCGGCCTTTTTTATGTCAGTTGCACATATTTTTCCACCTTTTTGCAGAAGAGAACTCAAAGTAGGTGATAATGGTATAAGGAAGAGTAATGGGCTTGAATTTTGACTCTATCTGAACATATTTGAGAAACCCAGAGATCCAAATAATGGAATCAAATAAAACTATCAATTAATTAAAAAAAATTTAATTCAAATCCCCAGCTTTGTTAATTGTTTGCCATCAAGACAAGTTATATTATAATTTAAGTCATATGTCAGTGCTTTGCATAACCTTTTTGATTGTTTCTGAAGATTGTTAGTTGTAGTTGACGTTCCTTGTGAAGACAACATTGCACTAGTCATCAAAATTCTGTGTAGACTGATGTGGCAAGTCCAGTTGTCATGCAGAAATAATTTTTAAAAATTCATGTATATACTTCATGCGTTTAATTCATGTATCTTTCAGGTTGCCGGTTTACTAAATACCATACAACCTGGAAAGCCAGTGATGGCATTATGGCAGGAGAAGAATAAAACATTAGCGGTTATACATGTACCAAAGGTAGCACACAACATAAGTGTTTTATTCTGAGAATATTGATGAATTATTTTAAAAAATACATCATTTTATGAATTCTTCAACATCAACAGATTGCCAGCAATTACTATTTTAATTTATTGAAATATATTGTTTTGGTGTTTTTTCTTGCAAAATTTTTAACCAGATTGAAATTATGAGTGCCACCATCTTCGGGCTTTATAAACTTATTAGGTGTTTACTAACACTACTTGCAGATCTTTTAGCACTAACACCCATATTAACCGCCCAACCCACAAATTAACCAACACACCGTAAAATTATTCAGCACCAACAAAGCGATACCTAGCACTAACATTCATCTGGTAATGCTAATTTGTTTGTAGGTTAGGTGGTTTATATGGATGTTAGTGCTAATAGACATGAGGGTAGTGTTATTAAACACTTAATCCATTTACAAGGCCTGATCTTTAATTGTCAGGACAACTGACAATTCTTTCATTACAGCTTTGAATAATGCCATCTAACAAGTAGCGGTTACTTGACAGCATGGGTTGGCGATCATTAAACCAATTCAAAATAATTTGCATCTCTGAATCTATTAATATTATTATTAACACAGAGGAAAGCATGGCAAGGGCACTGAAAAACGTGTGTTTAATTTTTAGGAGCCAGGACCCAATTTCAAGGCTTCTGACTGGTCAAAATACATAGTGGACAATGCTGCTAACAATGTGAAGTGTGGGCCACTTAAAGGACAAGACCCAGAAGCATTCCATATGTTGCTGTCCAACGTCAGCTCAGATAGCCATAATAAAGATATTTTAGATTGTGCTGAAAAGTTTATAAAGGAGAAGGAACATTAAGTGATGTAGTGGCCAGTCCAACTGAGGGAAGACTAATTAATTAAGGTTACAGAAATACCAGGCCTCACAATATGCATATAGAAAAAAAAGCAGCTTGATTTTTGTTTTGAAGTTTAAATGTCATGCTAAGAAATTGGAGAAAGAAAATTATTTCAGCAGAAATCTGGAACTCTCTGCCAGAGCTCTTCTCTGGCTGTTACGAAATTGGATATTAATAATTCCAAGACAAAAAAGCTGTGTCACAGTTGTGAAATAACCAATAAAGTTATTTTAATATTATTAGAATAATAATAGTAAATTGATTATTTTATGTGAAAAGGTGTTGAAAATGAAAATAAACTCATTTCAGTATACAGTTATCTCGTTTAAATTTTGACATTTTCAAGGTGTGACTTTGAACTTATGTGGTCTTGAAGACCTTTGATAGTTACATTTTCTGAATATCCATGTTACTTAATTAATTATTTAAGATTAGTGGTGATTATGCTGTAAAGCATTATGTAATATTTCATTGGAATTGAAGAAAACCCTATTTTGGGTACTATTGCCATACAGACACCCTGAGCTTCAGAGATAACTTGACACTAACCTCTTCACTATAGCCTATCTTCATCGTGTCAAGTTATCTCTGACGAAAATAGTTTGACCTAGTTTATATAAGCCAATCAAATCCATGTTTCAAAAATTTTCACCAAAGTTTGGTGAAAACATTGATTGGTTGAAAGTCCAGAATTATGTCCAATGAGAAAATTGTATTTCGTTGCGTCCGCATAACCGTACACAAAGAAAGCATGGCATCGTCTCCTGCAAGTGACTACGTAAAAGAATGTTAAGTTATCTCTTGATTCTTTGCAAAATATGAGTACATCGGAATTGAAACCAGAGCAGTTTGAGGCCCTGCATCATTATCTACTGAGGGATGATGTATTTTGCGTGCTGCCCACAGGTTATGGCAAGTCCCTGATATTCAGCCTTATCTTTGATTGGTCCGGATTTGAACAAAGCGCGCTTTGACTCGTTCATGTTCATTGGCTAGACCATTCAATGAGTCATTGAGGGCAGGCTTTAAATTTGATTGGCGGGCAGTGCGGGCAACCGAATGTGGTCAGAGGTAACTTGACACGATGAAGATAGGCTATAGTGAGGAGGTTAGTGTCAAGTTGTCTCTGAAGCTCAGGGTGCATACAGAGCATGAAGGAAAAAATGTATCACACTCTTTTCAAACTTACAGGAAAGAAACTTAGGCTGCATTCACATCGAGAAGAGCTGAGGCTCTACAAAGCTGAGACCTAAATATGGCGGATGTACATGAAAGGAAAACCGCCTAATCTTTTAATAGTCTATTCGCCTCTCACACGCCTCCCCACGCGTCGTCCCTGTGGGGGTACAGTCATTAAATCTCAGCTCCATTCACCCGAAAGCTACCTGCGAAATATTAAGTGCACATGCTCATCAATTTAACTTGAGGTGAAGAAAGCATGGGGGCTGGAGGCGATCGAAGGAAAAAAGTTCTTCTGTTCTATTGTCTTTCAAGACCAATGTGTAGGGGTCCATGTTCCACCCTACCCAGGTTCTTCTTATATTTTACCTGTCACTGATGCATGGGAGAGGGAATATAACCACAGAACTCACATATTTAGTTCCAAGTCTAAAAGTCCTTTATTAAGTCCAAGCATTCAGCCTTTATACACATTATCTCCAGAGAATCTATCTGCATGCCACAGTGGCAGCAACTCATTTAAATACTAATTGCAATGCAATAGATAACAATTGAGGGCTTCTACTTTTAAGTTATATCAGTTCTACTTATCAGGTATACCTATACAGAGGATGATAAATATTCATTCAAGACTGAAGTAAGGTGAATGATAATATGCTGACTGATTACAAGTATAAACATAATATGTAAATGAGTGATTTCATCACATGCATTTAGTGGACCTTAACATATTCCTTCTTCTCCCACAAAAAAAAATTATGGTTACATAATTTTTTGAAATAAAGATTCCACAGAATACTCAAATATAAAAAATTTTAACCGCTAAATACTTATACAAAATATCTGCGTCATGATTCAATTACAAGAATAAATTAAAATATTATTCTATCAAACATCATCACTTAAACTAACAATTGTAATTAATTCAGTTCATTATCCATTCCATTGCTGTACAAAGACATGTCATTATTCTAATGAAATTAAATTTGAATTTTTATGCTTCCAAAATATTTTGACAGAGATAAATGTCCAGTTGTAATACAGATTGTTCAAACAGCTTTCTAATGGACTGTACATTTAAAATCTCATCAGTTAAACAATTCAGTATCAGGTATATCATGAAACTATATTTTTACCTTCTATAATACATATCTTGGGAATCTTCCCACATGTTGGAAATTTACCATTTTGAATAAAAAAAAAAACCCTACTGTCACATATTCTTTATAATTCAATTTAACCTTATCTGTAAACACAATTTATGTTATTATTTCCATATATGTAAGTCGTGAATTATTTGGTGCAATTTTACTTAAAATATTAAAACAAGAATATCAAATACTGAGCCAAGTGTAAAATATCTATAAATCTCATTTTTCTGAACCTACAGTACAGCCCTAACTGATGCATTATCCTTTAACTGAATAAAAAAAATCATTTCTTAATTTGCAGTGTGGAAGAAGTGTCCATTTTAGTTTCTTTGCCATAAACTTTCTCTGCACCTTTTTGTTGTCTCTGTTAAAGTCCCATTTTACACCTTTCCATTCTTTTGTGTTCTCACAAACATTTTCTGTGTCTGAGCCTTGTTTGTCTTCATTCTCTACAACTTTAACCACCTCACCTGCACTTTGTTTCATCTCTACTTCAGTAAGTTTGTCTATGTCTGTATCTTTAAAATTAGAAAAATCCATTCCCATCCGTTCGTCAGTAAGTCCTTCATGAGCATAATTTTCAAAATCTGTCACAGCCCTTTCATCTACAGCATGTTTCTCCTCAAACTGTGGGTCATCATTTTCAAGTCCTTCATCAGCACTCTTCACATTATCTCTTAAAGCATTATCATCTATAGCAAGTTTCTCATCATACTTCAGTTCACCCATTTTACTCTCACTTAATCTTTTGTCATCATCATCATCAGTTTTCTTCCCTAGCTCTTGTTCATAATCTTTCTCGACAGACACTATATGTTTCTCCCCTTTTTCGAAATCGGTTCTCTGTCCAACCTCTTGATCATTTACAAAAATAATATCCTCGCTCAGTTCATTCCCATCATTTTCTTCACCTACAACTTGTTCCTTCACAAACTCCAGCATACATTCATCTTCTTTAGCAGTACTCAATGTCTCGACTTTAGTTCCCTTCTCCATTTCTGAAGGTCCATCTACTTTGCTTTGGTTTCTATCTTTAACTTCTTCCTCTGGTTTTATTTCAGACTCTGCAGAAATGTCATTATTTTGCTGGTCCAAACAGCCATATTGTCTTTGTAACAAGTCGGCTAGCTTGGACAGGCATTCTACCAGTCTGCCATTAATGTTATAGTCCTTTTCAGAATCCCAGTCATCATCTTCATACACATACTCATCTTCAAAGTTGGATCCATAGATATATCCCTCCCCCGCAGTGACCCTGGTCGAGCTCGCCATTATGTAGGGGTCCATGTTCCACCCTACCCAGGTTCTTCTTATATTTTACCTGTCACTGATGCATGGGAGAGGGAATATAACCACAGAACTCACATATTTAGTTCCAAGTCTAAAAGTCCTTTATTAAGTCCAAGCATTCAGCCTTTATACACATTATCTCCAGAGAATCTATCTGCATGCCACAGTGGCAGCAACTCATTTAAATACTAATTGCAATGCAATAGATAACAATTGAGGGCTTCTACTTTTAAGTTATATCAGTTCTACTTATCAGGTATACCTATACAGAGGATGATAAATATTCATTCAAGACTGAAGTAAGGTGAATGATAATATGCTGACTGATTACAAGTATAAATATAATATGTAAATGAGTGATTTCATCACATGCATTTAGTGGACCTTAACAAATGAGCATGCACACTTAATATTTCTCAGGTAGCTTCGTGGGCAAATGGAGCCGAGATGTATAGTGACTGCACCCCCACAGGGACGACACGTGGGTAGGCGTGTTAGAAGCAGAGAGGCTATTAAAAGATTAGGCGGTTTTCCTTTTATGTATGTCCGCCATATTTAGGTCTCAGCTTTGTAGAGCCTTGTCACTTCTCGATGTGAATGTGGCCTTAGAACTGTAATACAGCTTTAGTTGGAAAACCTCTTTTATAAATTAACTTTTCTGGAAGTTATACAGTTTTTCACATTCCAGCATTTTCAAGGTATGACTTTGAACTTTCATGGGCTTGAAGACATTTGCTAGTCACATTTTCAGAATGTCCATGATACATTTATTTTATTATTAAAAATTGATGGTCAAAATTGATGTTAGAGCACTATTTAATATTGCATCAAAATGGAGGAAAACTCTATATTGGGCACTGTCTCAATAGTGACCATTAAAGAAAAAAACTGTTACTTACTCATTTTAAACTTACAGGGAAAAAAAATTGGACTAAAATGCAACTTGAGTTGAAAAAGCAGTCTAATTGGCTAATTTTTTCTGGAACTTATAAACATTTTATCTTATTTTATTTTTATCTCATTTTTAGTGGGCCTGAAGCCCAGTGGTAATGAAATTTTGTAAGTGTCCGTGTTATTAATAGTAGATGGTTAAAATTGGTGGTAATTATATATACCAGTACAGTCGAAAATCATATGTCATATAGCATCAAAATTTACTAAAAGCCTACTTCGTACACTACCACCACATGACGAAATGGAAATCACTTTTCCCCGTCATACACGGACCCCTGGACGCGTTATATTATAACATAGTTTTCTTTTGCGCCGTTTGTTATGAAACGAGGCATACTTCTATGCGCAAAACCAAACATGGCTCGTCTCATAACAAAATCATGCCTTGAAAATGCTGGTATGTGAAAAATTAAGTTTTTAAATGATAAAACGACCTTGTAGAAAAAAAAAGTGACGATCTCAAAATGATGTTAGCATCTCACAAAATAATTCTTGTCGAAATGATACTCAGGGGCGGATTTAGGCCGTCTTCTGGGTCTTCCGGAAGACGGTCAGATTTTCTAGTTTACATTGTTGGGCATCTAATGTTTCTGTCGGAAGACGATCAAAAATGGAGGATGGATCAACAAAGATAATTTGGAAGACTGTCAGAAAATATCTCTGGATCCGCCCCTGATACTTTCATCATTCTTTTTCATAAACGGCTTTCCATTAATAGAGAGTGTGCAGCGGGTCCTGTTGTGTTACATTGTATTACGTCGCGCGACCTGAGAGATCATTGGCCGATAGGTAAGGTGTGGCGTGTTACGTCAGCAGATTGTGCCGGTCAGCACTATGCACGTTCTTTTGCGCATTAGATTAGCACAGGTCTCAAACTACTGCGCATGTGCGAAATGTACGCCGTTTGAAATAAACAAATGGTGAAATTGACAAAGCCTGCCAGTGTTTACCGTCTGGTTGATTTTATTTCATTAGCTCTCTGGTGTCTTTTTGAAAGTTTATATTAGAAATGTTCTATTGATTTTAAGTTGTAAAAAGTAAATCCGTCTGAAATCCTTAGAAAAAACATCTATTTTACCTTCATTTTAAGGGGATTCCCATTGTATTTATAGTGTTATATGTGGCCCCAATGGGGATTTTCACACCTCCCCCACTCTTGATTAATAAAATTCTTCATCTGGAGGAATGTGAATTACATTGCAAAATACATTGAAAATCGTAGGAAGGTTAACCGCAGATAATGCTGCGAGGATATTCTTAACAGTGGGGGAACTCGGCCAATATAAAATTTTTAACTTCGTTTTACGATTTTGGAGCGCCTGTTCTAATTTTTGAAAGCGAGGCAATGGAACCAAACAATGCGATACAATTTGTAATCTCGTAAAAATTGCTATTTATATATTAAGGCCATAGCATGGAGTACATCGAAATGCGACTTGTTTATTATAATGACCTTAAATAATAATTAATATAAAACAAACGATATAATACGTTCTTAACGTTAGCCTATTTATTAGATTAATTGATTTTTTTTCGTATTTGGAGATTAAAAACACAAAAGTTGTCTTGTTTCATATCGAGGCACTACGTTTCGTTCGTGTGCTCGAGCGTGGGTGTCACCGGGTCCCCAATGCACGGCTAACTTCGCAAAAATCCGACAGGAGAGAGAGAGTGGAAGGCGGGTTTTCTAGTCACTGTCCATATAGTTTAGGAAGGGAAGAGTTTCTGAAGATTCTCAGGACGAGACACTAGTCCGGAGTACGCGTCTGAATAGGAATAGTAACGCCGCGGGACTCATGGGAGGTGGTGAGGTTACAAGGGCGGGGTTCACCATGATTTGTGCCTTGCTATCGATTTGCAGTTTCTCTCATTGTGGTAAGTCAAGTGTAGTGTCTTTAGTTTTCTATGTTAACTATATAATCCAAATATCCGAAGTAATGATAAGGATTTGATTATATTCGAGTGCATGCTCGCAGGTCACGTTAGGTTTCTTGTGTATTCCATTCAAAGTTTAAGATGTCATGATGCAATAAGTATGCAATATTGCCAGAGCAGGCAGGGTCATACTGATTACCAGAACCAGGGTACTTACCGGTAATAATTTTTTAAGTCTCTTGAATCAACTCTGTTATACATTTTATACAATATAACGTTAATCTGTCAGAAATGCAACAGGTGCTCTTTATCTTTTTTAAAATCAACAGGCCAAAACAGTTTTACCTTGGAGATAATACACAGTGATCCACTTTCACAACTTCAAACACTCAAAATAAAAGAGATCTATTTAAGATATAACTGTAGACACAAGCCAAGTTTGTATAAGTATAATGGTGTAGGTTCAGTGTGTGTTATGTGACTAAGGCCTCATAAACATTTCCGTCTATATATAAGCCATAATTACCTCTGCCAAGGAGGTTATGTTTTCACCCCTATTTGTTTGTCATCAACATAACTCATAAAGTTATGGACCAATTTTGATGAAATTTTCAGGAACTGTCAGATGTGGGTCAAGGAACAGATGATTAGTTTTTGGTGGTGGTCCGGATCAACAATTAATCAATAATCAAAAATCTAAATCATCATAGAATGAAAATATAGGGGTGAAACGGCATTGGGTGGAGACTTTGCTGCCTTGGCGGAGGTCTGCGCACTTGGAGTGCTTTTCTAGTTTGGTCATAATTTTATCAGATACAATGACAAGTCTTTTCCGACTTTTGTCAGAATTCTGACTTTTTCGGGTTCATTTGGGTCATTTTTGTAAGTTGTGTACCCTGGACCCCCAGCCAGTTTTCCTACTTTTATAGTGAGGACTGTTCTCATCCCTTCAGATATCAGTTTTATTATATCATTAGTATTATTTGTACTCACCTTCCATTAAAATAACTGTAAAATGTTTGAAAATTTGAATGAATTATTAATCACATAAATTGTCAATTGAAATATCAAAGGTTTTAAATAACAAAGATTATAGTTACGCAAAAATGCAGTAGTCCAACATCCACATTATAAAGAAAAATACAAAATTTGAACTTTATGGAATAACATTTTAACTACATTTATAAAACAGACCAATATTTGTGTACCTGTTATTGACTATTTCATTGTAATTTTAATTGAAATAGCCAAAAAAGAAAATGATAAATGTATTAACTTCAAAACTTAATTCCAGGTGCTTTAGCCAGTCTTTATCGAGACATGAAAGTTTTAGTGGGAGAGGAAATGCTACTAGAGTGTCACAGCAACCTCAGCAACATAAATTCTGTAGACTGGTATGTAAATCACTCTTCCACGCAAACTCCAATTGCCAGCTGGAATCCAGGAGGTCAACCTGAAGTCTATGTGCCATTGAACAAAATGCGAGACAAACTGGTCACACCAAGTGGAGACCTGAGTATAGCAGAAGTGGATCGTTATCATGCAGGGGTTTACACATGCATTGTTATAGGTGAAAATGGTGTAGAGTGGAAAATTCAGTACAATGTAGTACTAGTATTCAAGGGTGAGTAGATAAATTTTTTTTCAAAAATTGTTTCAAAGGCTTAAGTATCCACTAGCAATTTTTTTTACAATTAGCCAATTGACTACTTTCTATGTACAGACACAGATGTCACACTTTCTCAGAGAATAACTGTTGATTTTGCATCCAAGACGGAGGTACATTCTGTCATGATTGTGAGCATTGTTACAGGCATGAAAGCCAAGTGCAATCTAATTTCAAGGTCACCATAGCTGTATAGTACGTGATAATAATGAAATATATTTTCACATAAAAATTAGAACACTACAAATTAAAATGAAAAATGAAACTGTAATTTTGTCAAATAATGAAGTTTAAACTTTAATGTGTTGTGCAATATATTATCAGATATGAACTAGAATTTATTTTGCTGAAGATGGTTATCTATCAGAAAACAGGTGTGTGGAGCACTAATTCCTACTAGATATATTGTTGGTAGGGGAAACAAGGAATCTGTTTTAATGAACTTGCTTCTCTGATCCCTATACATTAGATTGTTATGACAAACTTGGCCATTTGATTCTTTTTTTTCTCATTCTTGATGTATTTTGTTTTTTATAACCAGGTTCAACAACTTTGGAATCAGCTTTCCAAGATGTTACTGGTTCAACTCCAAATCCAAAGGTCCAAGGTCTCACAAGTCCTGCAACTCCATCAGTTGGGACAAGTCTCTTTGCCAGCTTCAAGATAATTTTTTGTCTTATATGGAGTGGCCTTGGCATTTTATATTTGGCCAGCAACTGATTAAGAAAAACTTAAGTAACATTTTAAATAGTATTGAAATTAAGACTTAGTAGCTTTTCTCATCTGTAAGTCATCTAGATTGTGACCACTGACTAGGGCCCAAGTCCATTTGAAGGAAGAAAATAGCTTGCTTCCTGGTCAACAGTTTAAGGATGACCTGATGAGAAGAGCTAGAGAGTCTAATTTCAGCTTGTTCACAGTGTCTGTGTAAAAAAATCTCTCATTATCAATGTGCACTTCACTGGGATTGCAAGAAATGGTTTACCATGGTACTAATTGCCCTTATACTTATTGGAGGTAGGGGTGCAAAACCAACCTGATAATATGAAGAAAAAAGTGCTTAGCTTCAAGAAAAAGGACTGTTTCTTTTCCAATTCAACCTGTATTTAAGTCACCAGTTTGTAAGTTCAAGCGCAATTAGTAGCATGGTTCTCCTCTGCCAGAAATTTATAGTATTCATCCACTTGAAGGCAATAGGTCAACCAGTTTTTCATTAAATGTGTTATCTGTATGGCATAAAGTATAATGTATGGTGATAAAAAATGGCCTTACTTTATCCAAAAAGTTAAGATGAAACTGAATTTTTGAACTCAACCTGTATTTTACTAATATTCATAAAGCCCCTAAGGGACTATTCCCACAGATATCTCTCTGGGGAGTCTTACTGAAGTGTTATTAACTTAACCTGCTTAAATGTCTGTCACGCCTAGTAAAACGGGGGGTAATTATCACCTCCTAGCTGATTCGGTAGGCAAGGCAGACATTTAAGCCGGTTAGTTGATAGCAATTTAGTGAGACCCAGGGAGTTGGACCCATTCAGATGGATTGATCTAGGCGTGGAAACCCAGTCTAAATTTAGAGACTAAGGCTTCGTTCACATGGAAAGTGTATTTTCTAAAAATCTATTTTCTATTCACGGTATATCTTGTGATCATGGTCTGTGCCCTGAATATCCCGCGGCATTATTACTGGCAGCGCGAGCCAGTTACTTCCAAAGCTGTAATTAATTCTCGGCTGTGCTCTAAGGAGATTCTGATACCTTGACGCATGCGCAGTAGGAAGTTAGAAAGTTAATGGCGGTTGCTTTGAAAAATGTTTGTCGATCTTGTGCAACAACAAGACGAAGAAGATGAAGAAGCTATACACACCACAGATACGAGTGCAACCGTCATGATCCGATGGCAAGCGATGCGGCAACGGAGGATGAGATTTTATAGAATGCGAGCACAGCCGAGAATTAATTACAGCTTTGTATAAGTAACTGGCTCGTGCTGCCAGTAATTACGCCGCGGGATATTCAGGGCACAGACCGTGATCATAAGATATAGAATAGAAAATAGATTTTTAGAAAATACACTTTCCATGTGAACGAAGCCTAAAAGTCAAACAGTTTAACACCAACTCTTTTGAAGTGCACATTGATGATGACATCTTTTTATGTAGCCACTGTCCTTACAGAAAATTTGATGTGCCGTTTATGTAGTAATGCATGTAGATCTATAAAAAAAGGGGGGGGGGG